GGCAGTTTTTTCAAGAGTCTGTATACACAGGATACCCATCTACTAYTAGAGGAATTAATACCTTTCTTTGTTTTAATACCAGCCATCCTGTATTCTTGCAGCGATAAGATTTCTCTTTTTAGGTAATTTTCCACTGTCAGATAAAAAGATAAGTAGATAGCCTAATGTATGTTTYTTAGTTTTATAAAATCTTAGAAGCCTTATAATGAAATACAGRTACAATGGTCTTAAATAAAGGTCTTCTTATGGACATTTATTTAAGTATATCAGTATAACACATATGTCGAGACATTCATACTATTTTACAATCAATGTTTMATATATTTTAAGACAATAATCATACGTTGCATTCCTTGGACAAGCTTTTCATGTTCATCTGAAGATTGTAGTCTTGCAAACGGCCGAAGACTGTCCCTCAAATCCCTAAATTAGAACATAGTTATTAACAACGAGTTACAACTCAACAAGCGCATGTTAGCTATCTGTTTTTTTCTACAGAGAACCCTGAATACATGCCTTGAATAAAATAAATAAACTTTAGTTGCCCACTTATAACATCCAGTTACAAAAAGACTAAAACATTTGAGCATATATTTACAAAACTAAAAAAAATAGAGAAGACCAACTCCTTTATCTCAAATAAAAAAGAAAAGAAAAGAAAGAAGAGAAACAAAAAAGAATCAGACTTTTTGTCCAAATAACTAAAGTATAGCTTCTGATCTATCRCATACTAGATTTACCTTTCTGCTTTATCCTGCCTTCTTTCTAGCACTGTAAAAAACACACACACAAACAGAAGTTCTCACAAAYCTGTGAACCAATAGGCAATGTACAACAACAAACCAAAACCATATCAAACAATGAGTTCAATTTGTATGTTATATATTGCTCAGATTTGTTTGATTTACACTACTATATAATATCTTTAAATACTTACTCTGCCATTTTTTGATATTAATCAATCCATACCTCTGTACAATTCTAGAATAAAAAGTACAATAAATATTAAATCAATAAGGAGGCAGGCACATGAAAATGTATGGTGCTTTGTACAGTGTCCAATAGATTATCTGGTGGAATAGTAGCTCTGTTCCCAAGAAGCAATTGGAAGATTGGTAGCTCAATTCTTCCCAACGCATATAATAAGTTAAGTTGACACTCACTTTTTTCKATACCACCTTTGTTTGAGTCTATTAATAAACACTTGTACTGCAGCAAGTTTGAGCTCTGGTGACAAAAGACAAGAAATATGCTATGTCAGGAAATYATAAGAAACATAAAAATCATATCATATAAATTACAAAATTTTTGAATAATAAACAGAATAAATATCCATAGATGCCATGTGTTTTTTTGAGATTTAAAAACAAGTATAATTATTAGTCTACTTCTTATAAATCCTGATCAAAATCAATAGCTTTGCAGATTGTTAAAGATAATGACTCCTTCTTTTCTCACCTTGCAATAACAGTGAATCCGTAGGGTCTAAAGTGATATCTTTGATGTCAAATTCTGCATAATTATCATATTCCTGTCATAAAACAAATACATTTTATTAACACAAACAAGGTCTTTTGAACTAGTTTTTCTCTATCACATTTCTTATCTTATCCACATATCACTGATGAAGCTSTATCATCCAGCAAAATTTGTGAACTTTAAACCAAGATTTTGCGCCTACACAACTCATCAACTTAAATTACATTCATACCACTTCAAAGTCGCCTCGGCAAGGCATGTAGCCAGCTAGCTCAACACTTTTGAAGGAATCCATYGGAGGACGGGGTGGATCTTCAGTTGCTAGAGAAGATTATAGTAAAAACAGTTCAAATCCTTGACTCGTTCAATTCTTTCTTTTTAYCAAATAAAATTAACATTATTGCAAATAGACTCTTGTAAAGAAAAGAAAGTCCTCAATTGCAGCCACCATTAAGCACCTCCACMRCAGCCATCAAGAATGCAAATAATAAAGGTTARTACAAAGTCTCACCTTGAAATGGCAAAGGACACAACAATCTTGATCTATAGAAGGGTTCTGTTTGACATCTTAACACTATTCCAAATAAACCCTCAAATATTACAACTCCAAATAATTCATGTTTTGAAGGGAAAAAACACAGGGGGTAAAAAGGCACAGCTTTTTGTCAAGGAAAGRGTTTAGTATAGGATTTGTTACCTGGAAGTCCATTTTGTTTAGCATCTTGAATGTAGCACTTGATATAATGCCTTTCACACTCTGAAAACCAAGAAAGGATTATTGAMAATTAACAGTACTAGTCCTCAAGAAAAACAGACTGGAATTAACAGAATGATGTGCAATGACCCAGCTGACACTTTAGTCAAATTATTCCAGTGTAAAAGTAAGCTAAACACTGTAGTTTAATTTTATTTTTTTGTTAAGAAGAGAATGTGAATGTAAGGATTTGGTAAATTATGAACCTTTATTTGTTTTTGTCTGCATTTGCTTTGAAACTTCAGCCCTAAAGATAGAATAGATAATATTTTATTGTCTTTAGAATAGGCATATTATACAATGAAGGTATAAGCTTAGAAAATAAAGGATCAATATTTCAGATATTTTGATATCCCTTAAACGGGATGACCACTGAGCATCACCYGCTGGGTTAACATTGACATTATCACTCCCAACCACCCTGCAATGCGCTGCACCACTTTTAAGTGGTGTTTTCTTAAAAGAAAACACTGCAAGACCACTGAGTATTTATCATAATTATTATAGTGTTGCACTATATCAAACAAGTAAAGTGATAGTGTTATGTTTCTTTGATTCCAATTAATTGGATTTCTTCCTTTAAAAAATCCACCTGGGATTGGCTGGACTTGAACCAGTGTACTCAAAAGTAAATACTAAAACCTGTACCACTAAGCCAAAAGTTTGTCTTGTCCTCCTGATCAATTGTAGTGTGGACAAAGTGTTATAATTAGTATGCAAGATGAGAGCCTTACCAATTGCCAATCCCACAATCTCCTACTGCATCCAATAACTGCATTTCTTCTTGTGCTGTCCAATTTTCCTCCAAAATACAGAACGAATTATTCTAAAATAGATCAAAGGTTTTTTTTAATAACAATCCTTCTCTCTGTGAATRAATATCATCAAGCTGRTACTAACAAGAATTTCATAGCTGTGGTTATTCTTGTGACGTCCTGCTTCGCCTCCCTCACAGAAACACTGAGAAAAAAAATAMGTCTATCAACACTATTTCATTTAGATGTAAGTCTATATCAATCGTATTTGKCAAYCATTTGGCAACATCAATCAACATGAATTACACATTTGTAAAACATATCTTTTTCTTTCTTCATTACATTATTCATTATTACATTATATGGTATTTTTGCATTATTTTTTGACTAACAGTTGGGTCAGTCCCATTACTGGCTGACAGCTAGAGTATATTACTAGCTGTGCAATTAGCAACAGGCTGGTCTCAATCAGAATTTTCAAACAAATCAAGTGATTGTGCCAAAGACTTTACTTGACTGACAGCAGTATATTATCAATTGCATTTGTGTATTTTATTTACTTACTGCAAGACAAAGTTGAACAAAGGGATGACATTCACTGCATCGTATAAAAGGTTCCTTTAGTCTTCCATAACAGATATAGCATTCGGGATAATCTTCGTGCTCTCCAGAAATGTCTTAAAAGAGCACAAAGAATACGAATTACAAATAAAGCCAATAATTTATACAAATTATGGGAAAAAATAATGAATTGATCACATGATAAACAAACCTTGCACGGTGTGAGCTACTGAATTCAAGAGCTCCAACGACCTATCAACGTAAAAATTATTGCGAAAACACAAATCTTAGCCAACTTGACATGTAATGAGCTGTTTTTCATGGAAAATACTTACATGAATGAGGGATTTTTGATGCAAACAGGTTTTGAGAATTATAGTTAGGTCTGTTTTCTTCGGTCGTTTTCTTCAACACGTGTAAATACCGCTGGCCCAAAACATATATTGCGCGGACTCGACAATCAGATCTTACGGGCTTCCTGTGCAGAAATGATGTCATAAAGGACAAAAAAGAACACAAAGTTTTAGTTCGTGAAGAGCATTTTACGTAAAGGTAGCGAATACGTTTGAAGTTTGAATAATAGCAAATTACTTTTACTGCGAAAATAAGGTAAGAATGAAAATATTTGAATTTTTCTTGAAGCTGCCATTACAGGTTGGGCTACCTGTCTATATTTCCAATAGACAATGTGACTCACGGCCGAAAAACAATTTCTATTTCTTCTTAACCTTTAGATGACAGTRGATAGAAGAGACTCCGAAGACCTGTATTCTTATATCCGTCGATTGGCACAACAAAACGGTAGGGCAAGCATTGCGCCATGATTTCAACTAAACGGCTGGCTTCACCGCGTTTTAAAAGGACCTTCAGATTCTATGCACGTAGTGCCAGTCCAGCTTCAATCTACATGGTCATTGGCAAACTTCCTTTAGCTTTAAGAGCTTGTTTCGAATGTCTTATATCAATTTGTATAGACCTTTTACACAACTCATTACCATCCAGCAATCCCTAACCCAGTATCCTAATTTCCTCCTATCTGCCCAGTGCCGAATGGTAAATTGATTCTTTTACCTAACCGAAATAATGTTTTGAATCTCTCAATCAAATAAAATTTGTACTCGTGATGGACGTCTCTATACAATTTATATATGAAAGTCATGTGAGAGTGTGTGGCTTCAACGAGAAGCTTTGTCCCGAGTACTATATCGTTACAAAGGCGGACAAGTTCTTATCCTATTGACTCTTCTCAAAGATTGCACGTATTCTTTTGCTTAAGGAGGCCAAGGAGCTGAACAGTGCCGACGTTGCCATCAGCGTGWCGATTTACTAAGACTCTTTAAGGCGCATTTCTGCACTATCATCGAATTTAAGCACAGCCAAATGAGGACTCTTGTGGACCAGGTCAACGCCCTGCACTGCCAGGAGCAAGTCTTGCAGCTTCAACTAGGTGTCACAGAGGTTAGTCCCTTTCAAAATTTCCTCAGTCCCCTTTAGGTTTCTCAGTTTTCTTCTGTTAGTTCCTTTTTTTCTTTTTCTTCTTCTTCTTTATTACATTCCGAATGATACAAACGTCGAGTTTTCGTCGTGTGACAATTACTAAATCGGCAGTAATAGTGAATGTGAACTGCGTGTCAGTTATCACATCGTTTCTTATATTTTTGATTGCACGACTATGGAATCAGACGAATGCCGTACCAAATGTATTGGGTTAACTCGAATTGTTTATTTGGCTCGATTAGAAAGAGCATTTTCAAAAAATAAATGGATATACTTTCCTAAAAACTAATGCGGTTACAAACATTTTCGGTAACATGTGGACAAGTTAGGTCTTCGAACAGAGACGGAACACGGAGGGGAAAGGGAGGRGTTTTCGTTTTCTTGTCTGTCTCGTCTGTCTCAGTAACGCCGGCTTCTAGTCAATAAATCACTGCATTCCGACTTTACCTCTTAAATACCTTTCGTTAATGCTTAGACAGAAAATAACGACACCAATAACAAGATTAAAGTGCTCCTGGAKTTGGTAAATGGTTTACGAGAGACTGCAAAATCTGAATCTTTCAAAGTCGCTAAACTCACAGAGGAACTTCAGAAGGTAATGCAGTCTCTGAGAAACTGAGACCAGTGAKAATGCGATGTACCGACTTATAGTGACATGATCGAGAGCGCACAAAGTTTCTTAATTCAAGCACTCAATCAACTTCCAGACTTTTAAATATCTCCTTTTCGATCCTTTGCAGACCCAACAAGAACTTATGGAAGCAAAACAAAGCAGCTTCCAGAAATTGTGGAGAMGAATTAGAAGTAAAAGGAACAAATCAGGAAAAAAATCTGTCCAGAAAACCCGGAATAGTTTATTCATTTGCTTTCGAAAGTAATTCCACTTCAGTATAACACGTTACAGTTATTAACTATTGTATTTATTGGTTGATTTGTCTATATGTTTTATACATTCAAATTATTTCTTTTTCTGACAAAAATTCTTCTTTGTAATATTGATTGAAAATTTCTTAGAAAATTGATTCTATAAATATGATTATGAAAATACTAATTGTAATTTGTGTTCTATATCTACAAAACTATAGTGTAATTCTTTCATTATGGAAACTATACAGAAACAATAATGATTCCCTATAAATCGACCGCTCAAGAGAAAATCGACCGCTCTCGTACTTAGAAATTAACTGAATTTCAATGATGCTAACAAAGGTGTACTTTACAAGCTCTTACTTTGCCATGGAGATCTACGCGTTTCGAAAGCGCTATAGCTAAAAAACGTTATGTATAAGACTCTCTTCTCGAACAGCAGAGCCAGCACATTTGCAGTCCAGCGTCATTGAGTCAGCTGACTAAAAGCCGGACCCGCAAAGAATCCACATCGTTTCTTCAAAGAATGATAACAAAGCGTGTGCGCGAAAAATAAACCACAAGTAGGTCTTAATTAAGTGCACAGTGCTTTGCTTATATATGCGCRCCGAAGCTATAAGCAATAACCATTCATAAATATTGCATCATTTGCAATGGGCGAGGATATTTTGTGTGTGTATTTATATTTCAAGGTAGGAAATCTATTGAAATGGATCTATCTACTGGGTGGAGGTGGTTCTGGTGATAGGATACGTCTACGTCTTTCATCAGCGGCTTGTTCTTTAATCTTCTCTTTTCTATCTTCTATGACTTGTTCTATTGATCCCATAACAAGTTCACTGAACAAAAAAGGAAAGAAAATCATGACAATTACTCTCTAAGAGGTATTTTTACAAAGTATCAATAAACTGGTTTTATTATGAAAACCTATTCGCCGTTCACAAAGACCATTTCTGAAATACAAATCACTACACGGTGCATTGTGGTGTAGCTGCAGTACAAACAACATATTTGGCCATGTAAACAAATGACGTCCGCATCTAGACCACAATGCAATGCGAAATGCCATTTCACAAAAGTGATGTCCATACCAGACATATTTTCAAGAAAGAGGGTCTCTTATAGCAGGGACAAAAGTTTTATCCATTTTCCTAGACCCTTTACCTGTAATTTATCATGCCGGTTTAACAGCTACAAAATTAGCAGTAATGGAAAATGTCCATACTCACTTAATATTTTTAGCTAACTTTACCTGTAATTTATCTCGCCGTCCTTGTTTTTATCTAAGGTTTCGATGAGTGTGAAAAGTTCTTCGTATTTCATATCTATTCCTGTTTCCTAATAAGAAATTTTAAAAGACATACCGTAAATAATCAATGCGTCCCTAAAATAATCAACGCCCMCTGCAAACAATGCACCCATGAGTTGATCCGCTCACTGTGTTAATACTCTCAACTTTCAAGTGAAAAATGTCCGACATAACTATGTGGAAACAAAAATCAAACCCTTGTTGTATGGTACATGTCTTATGGAATATATCAGATTTTCGTTTAACCGTTGAAAACCGTTATCAAGACGTTCGAAGCTACAAATGTAGTTTCTCAAAATGGCGTCTTTAATAAAGGGACTCGCTCTTGCAAGTGCTCATAGGGTGTCCGTTATAGCGAGAGTTGACGACGGTGAAATTTAACTAACCTTCAGTCCATCAGCAAACTCCTTTATCGAAATACTCATACTTTTATCTTTGTCTAATGTGTTAAAGAAATCCAGAAGCCTCATCCTGTTGTCAACGATGTAGTTTTTAAGAATTTTCATAGGTGAAGGGCGGCCTTTAGGTTTGGACAACGCCCCACCACTACCGCCATGGGATATCCGTACGTTTGGCCGAGTAAGTAAAACCTCTTTGCATAATTCAATGAAGTCGTTGTTGACATTGATGTCCTAAGATGGAGGAAAAGTAATGATTAGATAGGTAAGTTAATTAGAATCGTAATACTATCAACTAGTAGCCCACTTGAACCACAGGGATAACATTCCGTATTTCTATCAAATAATGCTGCATTTTTCCATATTGTCACTATCATGCAGTATTAACATTACATTACCATTAAATAATATCACTGATTTACAACTAGTATGGCTACGGTACACGTTTCAGGATCTTTTAGAAACCGCATATTAGCTCAAAATGAGTTTCCGAAAATATCAAAAATTTCATCAAAGGTCATCGTTATCGGTTATATGCAGTTTCAAAAATATCCGGATGCGTGTGGATGCGGCCAAATGTCGTTACCGTGAGCTCCACTTCCACCAATGCACATTCGGGATTGTTTTTCATCGAGTTGACTATCGCATAAGCACCAGCGCTTTGCATAGGATTTTTACCAACCTGAAAATCAGAAAATGCTGCTTTGATAAACACCGCACAATAATTGGCTCAGTTGGTTGAGCATCGGACTACAATGCGGGAGGTCGTGGGTTCAAACCCTGGCCGGACCAATACTCAGGGTCTAATTGAGTAGAAGTTGCTGCCTTTGTCTTTCTCCATCTGCAACTGGTAAGATCTTCACGTCCTCTCGGATAACGACGTTAAATCGGAGGTCCCGTCTACTCTACTCTAACCCTGTAAGTGGACGATAAAGAACCACTGAGAACGCAGGTACGACCATCCTCAGTGTCTGCACTTCGGCCGCATAACCTTGAGGGCACAAACACACTAACGCACTAACAAATCTAACGCACTCATGTTTGTAAACTGCACGGCTGCTTAAAGCGGCTTCAATATCAGTCTATCCAAGTCCCTCACTAACTATGTAATCCAGATGTAATTCAGATCATTGGTCTGCGAAATCTGGAAAGTCGGCCACATTCATCTATCTATCTACAATAAGGTGCAACGATTTCCTGAAGAATCGCACAGTAACAGCGATTGTCACCCAATTTTATTTGTTGCAAATAGCTTTGCATGAGCTAAATGTTGTCTTTTCTGCAATGCACTTCAGCAGCTAGGAGCACCATTKGACAAAGCATCACGCATCCAGCAACCTAATCTTGACAGCCTGCSTTGAATACACAATGTATTTTTCCATCCAAATCGTCAGTAAGTTGTTTTACCTACTTTTTACGGTGTTTGATTTATCTCTTCACACAACTGTTTCTTTAGAAACATAGATGCATCTCACACTAGTTTACCGCTAGTTTCCACCATTCCCACTACTCTGCATACTGTTTGATTGTAATGCCGTTGCAACACAAGTTGCTGATTGAGCACATTACACAATGTAATAGCACCTGGTAAATTACCTTAAGCACTTGTAAAGTTGTATTAACCATCAGTCCCTTGGCAAGATGTACAGCGCCTTCAGCTGTTATTCTATTGTTCCTAAAAAACGGAAATGATATATCCATCATGATTATCATTTTGACTGTTGCTATGACAAAACAGGTTAAGTTTTCAAACGTCTTCTTGTAAAACTCACGTTAAGTCAAGTTCAAGTAGTGATGAGTTAACTTTGAGTGCCTCTCCCATAGCTAAAGCTCCATCATTCCCAAAACCATTCCAAGCCAGGTTAAGGATCTTCAACGTTATATTCTCCTAAAAACAAAACAAGAAAATATCTCAAATCACATACACATGCGTGTACACATATAGTTGCTTGAGCACCTAAGCAGCAAAAAGCACACATGATAAAAACATGGTAAAAACATCAGTAAAAAGGAAAAGGATTTAAAAAGGGAGAGTTACAGATGTCCAGGGTGTGCCAAGAAGGCCTTCAGAGCAAAAAAGAAGAGTTATTGTTTGACTTAGCTACCTTTAGTGATAGAGCCAATGCACAGGCTCCTTTACCACGAAGATGATTCCAGCTGAGATCTAATTCTGTTAAAGCATCATTTGCAGCTAAAAGAAGAAAATCAATAATGAAAAAATACTCAATGTATGGATCCCATGAAAGAATGTCAGCGTTAAATATTTACATAAAACAAAAAGTCAAATGAATACATTTTTACAAACCTAAAGCAGGTGCAAGCAGCTGACCTCCTTTCTCTCCAATTCGATTATGACTGAGACACAGGTATTTAACTGTAGTATTTGTCTGGAAATAATTATCAATAATGATTAGTAAACAGGTTTAATAACATGGCTTAGATAATAATTTCTGGACTATGAATATGATTTTTGCCATGGTTCCATGCCTCATCTTGAAATGCAACTGTGCTTTTGCATTGAAGTGAGATGACAGGTGAGCTTGCAATGATTGACACCTGTCAATTATTGTCTATGAGTGTGAACAAAGGTTTCTATCATTACATGTTCACCAGTTATGTCATAAGGCATGGTWACATTTCAAGATGATGGAGGGAGCTGTGAAGGAGAATATTGTCCAACTATCTAGGGAAAATAATGCCATATGTTTACCTTGATAGACTCTGCAAGTGTTCCAGCAGCTTTGTCTTCAAACCCATTTCCTAATACATTTAATAGCATTAATCAAAACTAATAAACATTTAACTATCTTTCCTGAAGGAACATATTGATTATAAATGTAATGCAGAGAAGAGTTAAAGTTTTTGATGCTTACCACTAGCAGTCAGTCTAAGAATATTTGAATTGTGCACAAGAATATCACCAAGACATTCAGCACCTCTGTCTCCAAGCCTATTTTCGGACATATCCTGAAAATTAAGCCAAATAATATAATTAAATCTGTACGATTAATAATTACCAAAAAATAAATATAACATAGTGTAAACTCTGGTGAACATTGAAATTATTCCACGAATGTACATACTCCAAATATAACACCACTACTATTTCTGTATTATATATTAAAATAATGAAATAATTCATTAGTTGGTTGACTGTTGGACTTACAAGATCTGAGATATAACAGTTTTCCCTCAACATTTCAGCAATAAATGAAGCACCATCTGCCCCAAGCCAGTTATCTCTTAGATTTAACTTGATTACCGATGTATTAGACTGAAATAAAGATACAGTAGCTACAATATAAAGTCAAATTACCAATAATAATAACACTAATCCTATCTTCTTTCTATGGTAGTCCCCCTATATTGACTAAGGCACCACCCATTCCACTTTGGAGAGGGGATTTGAAAAGTCAAGGATTTCCTTACAATTTTGCATGTACTTACAACTAGTGCAATGGATATTGCTTTAGCACCCATCGGCCCAAGTCCATGATGCTTGATATCAACATCTGATTCTTGCATGTTGCGYAAAAAGAAGGATGCTGGAATGACACCAGCTTCTCTGCAAGCCTGAATATATGTTGTTCTTCCTGTAACATCGTATTCCTCTTTGCAATCTGATTATTGACAGAAGTGTGCCATTGGATATCAAACAAATTAATATATTGTCATTATTATTGATTATTATTATATTATTGGATTATTATATTATTATAGTAGTAGATTGGATGACTCCAATCAGTTTTATAATGTCCTTAAGGTATGTTTTTTAGTTAAGTTTTCTTCCTTTTAAAAAAAACTGAATAATCTTAATTAAGTTGCGAATGCGAATGCTGTTCAATGACAAGAACAATGGACTTACTTAATTAAGTCTGAAGTATGTAGTAATTGTCTTTTCAAAGGTGCTAATTTCGTGAACTATTTTCTAGTTAAAAAATTACTGGAGCACAGCTAATTAAGTTATCTATCAAAAAAGCCACTAGACGCAGTTAGTTATAATTGCACGAAGCGAGCTCAAAATACACAAAGTACGACAACACTTAAGCTTGAATAAATAGTTGATATATCTGTTGCTAGCAGGATAAACAACGAAAACTTGATAGCTCCTATGATGTTGTCAAGTATTCAAAGCATTTCTTTTATAGATTGTACTTAGAATATTCACAAAGTACCATCGGTCTCCAGGTCTGTGTCCCAATCTTCATCGTTGTCGAGATTTTCCAAAGTAATATCATCATCGGGTGACAGAGAGCCCGTTGAATCTCTCCTAAGTTGTCCAGTTGGTGGACTGAGCATGGCCTTTAGAGAATTAGAAATGGTTAGTGGTGTATTTCAGGGAATTTAGTAATCTATAAAGCACATTTTGAATTACGTTTTTTACTCACCCTTCGAAATTCGAAAGGAAAGTCGCTTGTTCGATTGACTGTCAGCGTCCGTGAATCCTTATCGGTTGGTGACCGAATCGGCGTTGAGACTCTCCCTGAATTTGAATCCATGTCTTGTTTTATATATTTACACTTTTTGTGGCCTATTGTGTAGAAAAAAGACTTCAAAAAGATATCCCTCTGCCGTTCCTTCAACCTCGAGTTCGCTGTCCATTTGCTGTTGTGATACAGGCCTCGCTATCATGCCGGACAAGATTGCCATTCGTTGTTATGACAACGAAACATTATCAGCTAACGATCCTCAAAAAAGAGGCAGAATTGCAAAAATATAGCATAATAAAATTGTTCCTAAAAAAGAATAAATAATATAGTATTCGGCACTCGTTACACTTTTATTCACGCACTTATTCAAAAGAAAATAATATATTTTCTATTAAGAATCGACACCTGGAGCCCATTATACCGACACCAAGTGATATAAAGATGGCCATTTCAACAAAGTGAACAATTTTCCATATTTCTTTTTTGATTCATATCACAAATAATAARTGAGTCATTTTTTTTTTAATTTGCGAAGACTGGAACCAAATGACGTAATGACAATAATTTCACCAGAACGAGGTAACGTGCGCCATTTTGAGAAGTGAACGTAAGGAACATACATCTCTTTATTTGAATACTATTTCTTTCCAAAATGCCTCGAGGAGGAAGACGATCGAGTGGCCGTTCATCTCCTTTATTTAGTAAGCCTGCACCAAAGGCTGCAGTACCGGCTAGACCTCCTCCATCAAGCGTTGGTAGTCCACAACCTCGCCAGCCGGGAATGCTAGGACAGATCGCTTCTACTGCTGCTGGAGTTGCGATAGGTTCCACTGTGGTAAGAACAAAGAGCACAGTTGTGAAGTTTGTTTTTCATAATGAGTTTTCATCAGTTATATTCCTTTGTTATATATTGACTTTAAGACAATTAGTAAACGTAGTAAATTTTATACGACACGTTTTTGATGCGTCACTGTAAAAGCAAATCCACAAAATTGTCTTTTAAGGTTATTAAATGGTTATCTTTATGATTTCAAGATCCTTCTTTCTTGAATTATTGGTAATAAGTGTCAATGACTAGTGATCAAATAATATCGATGTTTACAAAAGTACAAATTGAGGCCGATGTTATGTAATTTTTTCTGTTTATTGCATGACACAGGAAGCCCATAAACTCATAAAGATTTTTTGTAAATCACAACTTATAAATAAAAGCACCCTATTTCTAGCATATTATATATTTCTTAGTATTTTCCAAGTCATCTATGTGTGCAGATGTCATTTTTTTTATAAATCCTATTTCAATGAAAGAAAGCTATTATTGTTGAGTGGAAATTACATACAGTATGCTATTCTATTATCATAACCCGTTTTATTATTTTTTATTGCAGGGCCATGTTGTTGGAGGTGCATTAACTGGAGGGCATGGAGGCGCAGACAATCAAGTAGCAGACCAACCAATGGGTGGATATCAACAACCWTATCAGTCAGGTCAACCACAGCAGAATCCATGTCATTTTGAACTTCAACAGTTTGTTGAATGCGCACAGAACCAATCAAATATTTCCTACTGTCAAGGTTTCAGTGAAGTTTTAAAACAGTGCAAGCTCCAACATGGTAAAAGTGTTATTATTACTACTATTTATTTCTTTGTCAATACTTGGAGTATTATATATGATTTTATATTAAATGTGATTTTTATATAGACAGGCCTAGCTGTGAATGCTTGCTTTAGCTGTGAATGCTTGCTTTTAGCGATCTCTTTTACGCTGTGTTAACCTCAAAACCATGTAATAAATTCTTTTATTTCACAATAGCCCGTGCAAATGCAAGAGATCTGTGAGTATAGAAGACAATGGAAATAGTTTGAAATCTCATGAGTTTTATCAACATTTCTGAATATTTTAGTACACAATTGAGGCTAACACAGYGTAAAAGAGAKCGCAAGACTCAACTATTCTCTCTCAAATATCTAAGTGAACATATTTTTCATATCTTTATAGGTCTGTCTTAAAAATTATGGCTTGAATCAAAGGAAAATGGTGTCACATTCAAGCACTTGCAGATTCATACAATCAAGAACAAGCTTTGTTGGTGAACCTAAAGAGTGAGAACTGTCATGACTTTATTGGGAATTTGGTCATTTGTGGCTTGATTTTTATATGTGAATAAAAATGCTTAAAAACAATTTCAGTTGTTATTTTTAGTATGCTGTTAGATATTTCTATTTGGTGGTAAATGATGGAAATTCAAATTTCTAATTTCATTCCATTATCATGTAGACTTGCTCCAAGTGACTCAATGCTTACTCTTGAGGGATGGGGAAATTCCAGAACTACCATTATTCTAGAAAATTAAAAATTGCAAGAGCTTATGGTGACYACACATTGATAATCATGTCTCTTGGAAAAATGGTCATTTTACTTCATCAATGCAAGTGAAGATCAAAAATAATCTTTAACTTGACCACCTTGCAAGCAGTTTACAAGAATTCTCCCTGAGGAAGRTTGTTCCATGTTTCTMTTTACAAAAACTAYAATGYTGAACAAACAGAAACATCTACAWTRTAATTATCAGCTGTAAACCCATCACCATTTCCAAGTGTCTCAACCAGTGATGGTTTTCTATTGCACATTGGGCATAARTTATTGCGGACTTTTGATGACCTCATCCATATGATAAGATTGCATCTTTCTCCATCAGAAATAGGCAATGCTCCATGCATGTGTTGACCTCTRTGCAGGATTCCATATTCTGGTATATTTTCTTCTTCAAAACAGTTTGTTTCTTGCATAGAAACCTAAAAGTGAACCAAAAAGATGCCCATCCTAAACTGTTATTCAATAATATCTGACTGTGTTCAGTGTGTATAAGTTGCATGTCTTTGGTTACACCATAGTTAATAGAGAAGTCCTCTCTAACTATGGTTACACTTTTACTGTAGTTGTTCAATTAAATTCAACATGTTGGACTCAACWTTTTTTGACAAACAATTTTGCAAACGTTTGCACAAACCTCAAAGGATTGGTGCATAATTATGTACAATTATCATACATACCTGTCTCATATCTCCAAAATATAGCTCACCACCTGAAAACTCCTTCCCTAAGCAAACATTCAGGGTTACCTCAGCATTATCATAGTGATAGCTAAGATCAATATCCTGACCAGTCCTGTASTGAACTGTGAAGGCTTTATGAGAGTCTAGACTATCACCACCCCARTGGGAGTAGAGTAGGGCTGTTATTGGTACAAGGTATTCCTTTCTTAGTGGTGTAAGGAAATCTTTGTCAAAGCCAAGTTCATCAAGTAATATCTAGAAACATGTCACACTTACAATTAGTATTATATATATACTCATTTATGAATTAGTTTCATATATCCCTTTATGAAAACTTGCACCATCTTGACCAGTGGTTATGTACTTCTGCCAGGAGTTAGGGTTGAATAAAGGTGCTTATCAATGAAATCATACTTAACCGAGTGTTGTCCAATATTCTGACAAATTTATGCATAGTATTGTATTGTATTATATCCACAGAACAATAGATTAACAATACAACTCTTTTAAGAACGACGCAATACAATAGAATACAATACAATGGCATGCATAAATTTGTAAGAGTATTGGACAAGTATGACTTAACCAGTAGTGTTGCACATAGTGAAAAGAAGGCAGAGCTGCCTTTTTGAGCCTTTCAAGATGATAAAGGGAATTTCGAATGAGAAGCAATTTTGTCTCACTTCTTCATTTATGCATGTGATGTTCAAAAACATACTTTCTTTTATACATTTGTTGTTGTTGTTGTTGTTGCTTTCGTACCCCATAGTTATTCATAGTATTTGGTCTTCCTCTTGGACAATCAGATGCCTCAAAATGTGAAAGTTCTTCCAATAACAACTTGCAAAATTCCTTTGTGAAAACTGGAAATCTGTATATTTGTTCCCCTGTAAATCAATATCATTATGTCAATAAAAAACAAGCTATACAACTTTTATCTGTCAAACATAAAATGATTATTTTACCATTGCATTTTTGCAGAAGCAGTAACAAGTCTTTTACATTTGYCTCTTCACTTTTACAGAACTTTACAATGTCCAAAAATCTTTTATCAAGGTATGATTGCTGCAGAGGAAAAATACCAAGARAATTGGGGAAGCTGTCTTCTACACTTTACAATTATCAGTGACATCAGGGGATGATGTTTTATTTTAATTTACCAGCTAATAATTTTACCTTGAGGTGATAAATCTGAGGGTGCTTTGGTCTAAAATTTTGCARAATGATCTCTTTTCTTTGCCTTGCTTCTTCTCCAAGAGACTTTCTCCTTTCAATTTCTTTTTTAATCTACAATTTAGTTGGATTTCAGTTTTTTGTTTACTTTCTTTAATCATCTCATAATTCAATGACAAATTTTCCCCTGCTCTCATTAGTTGAGAGTCAACCAYGTGTTRGATAGTGCCAACCGAAAAARKGTACTATCAGAGCATAGAGCCTATTGCTTCCAACAATTCTGTTGTGGAAACTGAATATTCTGAAAAGAMAATAGAAGGCTGATACCACAGTTTGGAAGCAGTGTGGGACTCCATTAACTGATAGTAGCCCTCCATGATGGGCACTATCACATATCAGTGGGACCTATAGTCTCTCCTTGAATTACTTATCCATACATTTTATAGAGGTGATAAAGTTAGTATTTTTTGTAACAAAATCAATTAATATTTTCTGACCTTCAAAACTAAACTTCGCCACTGATCGTCCGAAACGCATCCTCTAAGTCTCAAATGCTGAATAAAAACGTATGATTACCTTTATATAAGTTTTAAAATGATATATTTTCTTCTGACAAGCAAATGTTTTGAACACAATTAATTTTCATCAATTTTTTTACCTGTCTGTATTGCTGAGTAAACTGCTGTTCATCTTCAAAAATTATATGGGCTTTATACTCTTCAAGAAAAATATTATGGGTAAAAAAGCAACGGCAAAGAAATCGAGGTCTCTCYTCTCCATGAATGTCCATCATCCTCCATTTTGAAAACAAACATTACCCAGTTCCAATTCCTAATGTGGGTTACCTGTGGTTAATTGGTGCATTCTGGGAGCGATTCTCGTAACCAAAGCAAAATGGCKATTGTTTTGTTGGGTGAAAAATGTTTTGTGTCCAAATTTTAAACCGGAATTTTCACAAACATCACTCGAAAATTTCTCGAAAACGAGGAAATTAAGGTACAAGCTCAAGAACGCTCAATCAAGAGAAAAACGTTCGTCTTTCTGTTCTTTGAGAAATAATTCTTTGATGAATGTAAAGAGCTATTGAAAAAGTTTTGAACTTGCCCTGTCAATTCACTAGAAAGAAGATTTAGATGTTTATTTTTTATCAAAAAAACAACCAGTTTCCCAGGCACACAAGAAGTTGAAGAATCTTTTCTCATTAAGAATTCTACCAAGTTCACAAGACATCAAAGGCTGTCCATTCAGTTCGCGTGATTTTCTCTCTCCTCCATGGCACATCTTCTTGGCTACGAAAGCTGCTTAGATAGCCTGAGTCAAGATGTYTCTGATATTCAGTCTGTKGTCATGGATATTACATCACGTGCTGGGCCAGTAAGGTCTCCATCATGGAAATATCCAGATAAAATATCAAGTGAATTAGACATTGATGAATTACTTGAAATGTACTGTCACTCAGATGATGAGGATCACAGTAAATTGTCACACATTGTATTATTTGAACTGGTTATTGATAGGTGAGTGTACTTAGATGATTGGCAAAGACATAGGGAGTTTCAAATGTGGGGTAGTACCAACAGAAAAATAATTCTTAAGCCCGGTTCATACATCGAGCAAGCGTCACGCCGAAACCAAATTTAGTACATGAATAGCTTGACGCATGAATCAATTGAGTTTGGCACGAACACAGCACAGCAGTGGCATGGCATCACCAGTTAGGCTTCACGGCAAAAGCTTGATGCTAATTCATACGTCGAGCTTTCGTCGTGCCAAACTTAACGTATAACTTATAATAATAACAATAATAATGGTGTAGAATTGTGTGTTATTACTCT